AGGACACAAGATATACACACAGTTATCTTTACCATAATGCAAGAAGGAAAATGAAAGCAGCAAGTAGGGGCCTTAGGCCATGCCTCTGGAGACCTGACATGGTTCTGAGGGCTGAGAAGTACTCAGAGATGAATTTCCTGGTGATTAAGGGGTTTGGTAGTCAATGGAGTCTTGTTAAGCCAGCTGCCTGGGTGAGGGGTGTGGGAAGCCCTGATCTATAGTATTTCTGTGGTGTAAACACTCCCAATCATGGCCAATTTCAAGCTGCCAATGGTTTCACAACCAGCCTGCTAAAATCCTAAAAATATCAGAACTGGATTTCAAAGCCAGTATACCCTGGCTCCAACATACCACTGAATTTGGCCAACATGATAATTTGGTAAAAAACAAAACAAAACAAAAAACCAGTGGCTTGGCAGAAAATTAATAGCCCTTATAATCCTTGATTCTTTTTTTTTAGTGTAATGGGAGGAGAAACATCTATAAATATTACTTTATATGGAAAAGGAGTGTGCAGATATGATTAAATTAGAGATCTTGACCTGAGAGATTATCCTGGATGATCTGGGTGGACCCTAAGTGCATTCTTATAAAGTCCTTTATAGATTATCTGGGGGGACAGGGGGGAGATATACTTTTTAAAAATTTGGAAATTACTTTCAGTTCTTCCTCTTTTTTTTTTTTATAGATTTTTTTTAAAGCAGTTTTAGGTCCACAGCAAAACTGAGAGGAGGATTTTCCATGTACCTGTTGCTCCCACAGATGAAAATATTTTTAGTTTTGTGTGAGGTAGATCATGATGTGATGAAAAGTGCTACTTTTTTGCCAAAGTGGCGTTAATTTGAAGAGCACTTTTTAAATTATTGACAATACATAGATGAATATAATCAGTAATCTTCAGTTATTTCAGAGTATTCCTTCTCCTCAAATCCAAATAATCCCTTTTCCCCTGGGGCATAACGAGTGAAAATGAATAATAAAATTTAAAACTTTAAAAAAAAACAGTGAAGAAAAGCAAACTCTGAAGAGTTCTGACAACACTGAACAGATAGTCCTAATGTCCAACTGGCTTTCAGGCAGCCAAATGGTTTGCCGCCGTCTTGACAGGGAAGTGTGGAGTTAGAATGAAAACAACATGCCCTTTCCTGTTAGTTTTTTCCCTCGGACAAAAACCCTGTGCAAAATATATTACACATATTTTATAGATGCAGACACTGAAGAAAAAGGTGATAAAGTAACTTGCCTAATATCCCCCAAGTTATTAGGTAACAGAATTGAGATTTGAAGAAAGTCTGCCGGACAACCAAACCTTGGCCTTCCCTTCTTTCCTGCTGACTGTCTCAGCCTCAGGTCTCACACCTGGGCTACCGCAGTGCTCTGAGGAATGGGCTGCCCCACGCTCAGTTGTGCACCCCTCAAAGTTGTCCCCCACACGCCCACTCACACCGTACTCTAAGCGCCTGGTGCTGGATTCATGGTGCTCCATCTGCTGATACACTTGCCATCTCCTCCATTTGCTGAACTTTCACTCACCCTTCACAACTTCAACTAGGAGCTATCTCAGCTCAAACAAGCAAGTGTTTATTGGGCACTATATCACGTAACTACTGCTGCCGAACAAACCACTCCAAAACTCGGTGGCTTAGGACAACACTCATTCATGGTTTCTCATCAGTCTGTGGGCTGTCTGGAGCTCAGCTAGTCTAGGCTGGACTCAGCTGGGGGAGGCTCTGCTCCAAGGCGGCTGCCCCGGTGTGTTCAAGACTCAGGGATTTTCCAGGACATGGAACTTGTTTTAAAACTGGGGCGGTTCCAGGCATATCAGATTGATTAGTCACCTTAGCGGTAGTCCCTTGGTGCCTCTCCTGACCCCCTCCATCCTAAGACCAGCAGGCCAGTCCAAGTTTATCTTTCTCATGGTAATGGCACCAAAGAGCAACACTCAACTCCCTAAGCGTCTTCTGCATCAAAGTTGCTAACATTCCATTGGCCAAATGTGGTTGGGGCACAGCAATACACTCCACTCATCTGAACAAGTTGGGGGGAGGAGATGCACATTTCTGAATCGCATTTATCAGGGCACCTGCTGGGCAAGTTACGGAGGGCTGAAGACTCCTAGGCCATCATTCCTAACTGCAGGGACTAGATTATTAGGTACCCTGCCAAGTGTCGGCAAAGCACCGCGTAAAGAGAGATGATGTCCTTATCCTATTACATCTGAGCCATTAAAGATGGTAAACTGGGAAAACCAAGCCTTTTGTCATGTGCACAGCGCCTGGTACACGGCAAGATGAAATAGATGTTTGTTAAATTAAACTGGTCAATTACATGCCCTTCAGCACCGTATTCAACTTTCTCCTGTTAAATGTACTCCAGTTTCTTTCCCGTACTTTCTGTGATACTCTCCCGCACAAAATGCTAGATTACGTGCAGGGGTCGGAATACATTTTTGTAAAGAGCCAGACGGTAAATATTCTAGGCCTTGCCAGCTCTATAATCTGTTGCAACTACTAGATCTGCCATCGTGGCAAAAAATAAGTAGCCAGACAATACACAAACCAATCAGGGTGGCTGGGTTTCAATAAAACTTTATTTACGAAAACAGGTGGTAGCCTGTATTTGGTTCACAGACTATTGTTTGCTGACTCTGGATTAGACAAAGAAGTATAAACTGTGCTCAGAGTTGTACAGGCTGCCCAAGCCGAGACAGTGCACACAAATGTTTCCCAAACTGTGTTCCTTAGGACACCTGTATCAGAATCACCATGGGTTTGGGGCAGGTGAGTGAGGGGACCAGGAGGGTTAAAAAGGCACATTCCTGGGGTGCCTGTGTGTCTCAGTTAGTCAGTTAAGCATCTGACTCATGATGTCTGCTCAGGTCATGATCTCACAGTTTGTGAGTTCCAGCTCCACATGGGGCTCTGCGCTGACGATATGGAGCCTGCTTGGGATTTGGTCTGTCCCTTTCACTGCCCCTCCCCTCTTGCTCTCTCTCTCCCTCTCTCGCTCTCTTTCAAGATAAATAAATTTTATAAAATTGTTTACAAAAATGCACATTCCTGGAGTCTATTTTAGTACACACCTCTGAAGAGGGACCTGAGAATCCACATTTATTTATTTATTTACTTACTTCTTTATTTTTAATTTTTTAGTGTTTATTTATTTTTGAGAGAGAGAGAGAGAGTGCGCGCGCGCATGCGCGAGCGAGCATGAGTTGGGGAGGGGCAGAGAAAGAGGGAGACAAAGAATCTGAAGAAGGCTCCAGGCTCTGAGCTTCTGAGCTGTCAGCACAGAGCCCAATGCAGGGCTCAAACCCATGAACAGTGAGATCATGACCTGAGCCAAAGTCGGATGCTTAATTGACTGAGCCACTCAGGTGCCCCGAGAATCCACATTTATACAAGCTCCCCAGATGAGTCTTCTGCATATTAAAAATTGAAAATCACCAGTTTTGACACCTAACTTCAGTACCTAAAATTACACTAAAATATCAAGTAAATACATAAGCTTCAAATCACTACTCATAATCTCACTGAAAATGTACAAACATCATAGATATAAAACCAAATGTATATCACATAGACTAGGATGATACACTGAAATATTGTCAGTAGATATTACAAGCAGAATGAAGTATAACAGGTTGTTTTAATCTTTACTATTTTGGATTTTCTATTTTTTACATAATATGTGGAAAAAAACATTACAGCTAAACATACACTGTAAATTTTTTTTTTAAGATTTTATTTTTTAAAGTAATCTCTACACCCAATGTGTGGCTTGAACTCATGACCCCAAGATCAGGAATCACTCGCTCTACTGACTGAGCCAGCCAGGCCTCCCCACACTGAAAATTCTGTAACTATCTAATGTTTAATTTTCATTCAGAGTTATTTTAAACACAAAGAAAGGAAGAGAAATCAGCACAGATTTCATAGTTAGCATTTTGCTATATTTACTTCTGTTTTTTAAAAACTAAAATGTTAGAGATAAATTTCCCTCCTGTCCCCAGTCTCCCACTGTAGCCATTATTCTCAGTGTGGCCTGTATCATTCCCACATACTGCACACTTTTTCTGGGTGTCAGTGTATTCATCAATAAGATATAGTTCTGTTTTGTCTAAGTTTCATAAATGGTATTATACTGCCCAAATCATTTTCTTTGAGTTTGTTTATTTTGAGAGAGAGAGAGAGAGGGAGGGAGGGAGAGAGAGAGAGAGAGAGAGAGAGAGAGAGAATCCCAAGCAGATTCTTTACACTCAGTGCAGAACCTGACATGGGGCTTGATCTCTGGAACCATGAGATCATGACCTGAGCCAAAATCAAGAGTTGGACAGGGGCGCCTGGGTGGCTTAGTCGGTTTAGCGTCCGACTTTCGCTTGGGTCATGATCTCGCGGTTCGTGGGTTCGAGCCCCGCGTCGGGCTCTGTGCTGACTGCCAGCTCAGAGCCTGGAGCCTGTTTCAGTCTGTGACTCCCTCTCTCTCTGACCCTCCCCTGCTCACGCTGTCTCTCTCTCTCTCCTAGAAATAAATAAAAACATTAAAAAAAAAAATTTTTTTTAAATAAAAAAAAAAAAAAAAGAGTTGGACACTTGACTGACTCCCAGGAGCCCCTGCTCAAATTATTTTAAAGTTTTTATAAAATGGTCAATATGAAAAACTTTTTCACTCACTCTTCAACTAAAGGCACCACGGGCGTGTACCTCTTATTAACCAATTTACCTGACCCTTTTCCGACAGCCCTGTTCGGGTAATTAAAAGAACATTTCACAGCAGGATAGATCTAAAATATGAGCTCTACATTTCTATACTTGACGTGCAAATTTGCTTAAGGGCATGGCCTTTTATGTCCCTCCTATATATTGTGTCTATTAACATTTCACTCATTGCCTAAGAATGTTTTCTTAAAAAGCCTACCAAATTTAACCTTTCTGGAACTCATGAAAGCATAACAAGCAGAATATAAAGACGGCTTTATCTTTATATGCTTTTCTCTTTAGCGCAACAATTTTTACAGTCATAGACACTGCCAGCTCCTGCCAGTCATCAAAGTCCCCAAGAAAAAAGGTTATTTAGAGAAGGGGAATCCAATTGGATAATGACTACTTCAGCTGTCCACGTCTTCAGATAACAAACTCACCTTAATAAAAAGAAATTTAGAAAACAAAAGCCCGAAAGGACACTTCAGACATTCAGAAGTTTTGGTTGAAACACTCATTCCCCTGGGTCAAATATGGATAGTGGGGTCAAGAGAACTTTTGTTTCTATAATACACTCCTCCGAGATACGCCTTCAAAGAGAACTTCAAAGAAGGATGAAGTACTTCTACAAAATACACGCTGGACCCTCTCCACGGATGGCAGCCTGGAGGGGGTTGACTGAAGCACAAATGGAGACAGAGACAGATGTCCCTCTCAACCTCCCCACCCCTACCCCGAGCCCGGCCACTCGGTCGTCCCCCTCAGACATGGGGAGAACGGGGACAGTGTGACCTCAAAACGCACCCAGGTGGGGAATGTCCTTGGTTTCCCAACCCCTAGGCTCAAACCCCTGCACACTGGAGATACCGGAGACTTTCTCCAGGCTATTATGAAAATTAAATGAGAAAACGCTGACATCATCACACTCAGTAATTAGTAGGTTATTTTCAGCAGCAGCAAAGAGGTAGCCACTGACCTTCCAGGTCTTGAAGCAGATGTGGCTGGTGGACAAGTGAGGTGACAGGTAAGGCCGGGAGTGGGTGGCACCGTGTCATGAGGACCTGGGGAGCTGGCAGGGAGGGAAACGGTTCACTCACACCACCGTCTCCAAGGAAAGGACTGAGTACCTTGTCTCACCTATAAAACAAAATTCTCAAGTCCCTGCACATGACCTGTTCACAATCACTAGGCACGTTCCTCTTCCCACAGTGTATGAGGCCACGAATGGCTCATAGAAAAATTTGAAATCTAACAGCTTAAAAGGAATAACTACAAAAATAGCATAGGTGTAGCTCCTTACCTCATACATAAGTTATGACAGTTACTTCAAATGGCTAAAAAACAAAGAAGTAGAAAATGCTAAATTTCGTCAAATCTCTCTCGCGCTCAAAATGTGTTCCAGGAATTTTCTAAAGTTTACTTTGCTGATGATTTTTCTAGGGGAAAAAAATGAACATAGAAGAAAAATACCAGTTACTATATAGTTCCATAACACTTTATTGGTTATAGTTGATAAGAAAATGCTTAGCCAACAGCAAGTTAAATTTCAAAATAAGAGGAAAAAAAAACCCTAAAGGTCTCAAGTAACTTTTAATCTATCACATAGTTCAATACTACTTATTCAGCACATAAGAAATTACAGCAGGCTCTAGCCTGTATTTGAGATCATGTCAAATGATGTCACTTTCTTAAGTGACATCACTAGGGGCGCCTGGGTAGCTCAGTTGGTTAAGTATCCGACTTCAGCTCAGGTCATGACCTTGCAGTTTAGGAGTTCGAGCCCTATGTCAGGCTCTGTGCTGACAGCTCAGAGCCTGGAGCCTGCTTCAGATTCTGTGTCTCCCTCTCTCTCTGCCCCTCTTCAGCTCATGCTGTCTTTCTCTCTCTCAAAAAATAAATAAACATTTAAAAATTTAAAAAAAGTGACATCACTTGAGAATTATCCAAATCATTTAAGAATCAATACATAAGTATGCCCTCTACAAAATGAAATTACGATGAAGTCTGAGGAAAGATCAAGATCTAGTTTACCTAACTAGAGGATAGCTTCATGTTAAAGTGTAACTAAAGAAATCGGCAGTCTAATAAAATGTTTCGCCACCAGCCTCATAAGGTGGGAGAGAGGGACACAGCCAGAGCAGATAATCCCTAAGTATCTGTGGGTGTCCAGGGTCCAGGCCCTCGCACAGTGCCTGGGGCACTGCAAGTACCCAAATGTTTGACGGCCCAGCATTGCTCAAAGAGATGCAAGATAGGGCAGGCCACCTGAAACTGTATGAGTGCCTTCATTCTCAACTATGGCTGCACATCAGAAGCCTCTTTTATAAGAGATTCTCATTCAATAGATCATATTTAGATTGGGTTCTGGGTTTCTGTTTGGCACATACGTTTTTAAAAAGCTTCATGATTTATGTTAGGTAGGTCCCCTACTTCCTGATCTCTAAGAAAGTTTCTATCTTGTTTATAGATAAAGCAAAATTAAAGGCTAGTTCTGTTTCAATCAATAATGTTTAAAGGAACATGAAGAAGCCTGCCATTTTTCCAATTCTAAGTTTAAAAAGTGTGTAGAAGGGTGCTGGATGCAAAGCATGAAATCAGTCTACTCAGAAGCATCCTGACATCAGACTGGTGTCAGTGGCGCCCAGGATACGAAAGCCTGGCAGCCAAGTGAAGGACCGAGAGCAGACACTGCCTTCCACAGTCACTAGGGGCACCAAGGCATACACTTCTTGCTGACTGCTGAAGTTACAGAAGCTTGGGGACAAAAGGGATCTTGGAGATTATGCTGCCACTTACATTTCACAGATGAGGAAACAAGGAATCGGAGAGGATGTTGGCTGCCCTGTGATAATGGCTCAGTGGCTGTAGAAAGTACCTCTAAGTAGTTTACACTGTGAGGAGCTAAGTCTAAGAGGGTCTCCATAAAATGTTCAGAAATTGTCAGGTATGGATCATCGGCAATGTTGGGTCCCAGAGCCAGACACGGTTTAAAACGATGATGATGGGGGCGCCTGGGTAGCTTAGTCAGTTAAGCGTCCGACTTTCGCTTAGATCATGATCTCGCGATTCGTGGGTTCGAGCCCCGCGTCAGGCTCTGTGCTGACTGCCAGCTCAGAGCCTGGAGCCTGCTTCAGATTCTGTGTCTCTCTCTCTCTCTCTGACCCTCCTCTGCTCATGCTGTCTGTCTTTCTCTCTCAGAAATAAATAAAACATTTTAAAAAATGATGATGGGGTGCCTGGGTGGCTCAGTCAGTTAAGCATCTGACTCAGGCTCAGGTCATGATCTCATGGTTCATGGATTCAAGCCCCACATCGGGTTCTGTGCTGGCAGCTCAGAGCCTCGAGCCTGTTTCAGATTCTGTGTCTCCCTTTCTCTCTGCCCCTCCCCCGCTCATGCTCTGTCTCTCTCTGTCTCAAAAACAAATAAACCATAAAACGAATTAAAAAAAAAACGATGATGATGACAATGATGATGATGATAGACTGGAACTACAGTAAAAACCAACTGATCCTAAGAGATACAGTAATTTTCCAAGACTGAGCTTCTCCAACACACTGGGGCTTGAATCCCATCTGTCTTCACCACTGCCTTGAAATTCACCAGAATCGTTTGTTTCACAGGAGGGACAAGCAGCATGTAAAAAACAACCTTTCTGAGATTAACACAGCACACTAATCTTAAAACGAGTTGTTGTTATTAACATTTTAACACCTGGGCTGGAAAAAAAAAAAAGACTCCAGAGAAGAGGAAATTAATTGTGTCAGATTTGCAACAGTAAGTATAAAAGGGTTAAATTAGACCAGATGGCTCTATTAGAAGTAAGACTTCTGTCCTCATCTATGGTCCGCTGAAAACCACGCTTGCAGTCGCATCTTATGAATGAGCCCAGCAGCCAAACACCACATGGTTTGCCCGCAGTTGACCAGTAGGTGGCAGAACAGAACAACCCATCTTCCATAAAGCCCCAGGCGGTAGAGGCTTGGGTAGATTCTCAGGGAAGTGATGCTTGTCTTCAAACACAGGCAAAGACTAGGTTAGGAACAAGCAAAGGAAACTGAAGGTATCTTACAAAATAAAAAGTCAAATATCCATTTGCCTCAATAACCTACATACTAAAATTCAGAAGCGTCTTTACTGAAGCTGCCAGCACTGGAGGGGGCTCGAAAAGAAGTATGAGAGGCCAGTGTCCAGCCTGTAGGACGGGCAGGCGCCCACAGCAGAGTTTCAAACCTGCCTGGTCATCAGCATGACCTGGGGGCACTTATTAAAATACAGACCCTGGGGCCCAGACTCACAGAATCTCTGGAGAAAGAGCCAGGGAATGGCCTGGGGGGCCTGCCAGACAAGTCTGGTGCCCCCTCCCCCACCGGTGTACTACTACCTACCTGGAGGGCACCCATCCACAACCTAATGTGGGGTTATTGTCGTGACCTGCCCACAGGGGAGGAATCACTTCCCAAGCTGGTCAGAGAAGCAACAAAGGGCAGGCGGACTAGACAGGGTAGGGGGCCAAGTGGCTGCTGGGCTAAGCAAGCCTTCCAGTGGGCTGGGGGCTGCCCCGCCCAGCCCTTCCCTGTCCCTGTTTTTCACCTCGAAGCCTCATTTATCCCACCTTCCCTCTCCCGGTTCATCCCTGCCTGCAGCACCATTGAACTTGCTCCCTACTGTGTGTCGTCAATCTCTTTTTCTAGACACTGTGTTCCTTTCCATCGGATTCCCACTACTTCAAATAACAAAATGTTTCCCCCAGGTGTTCTGCTCCTTGGTACAAATTCTGTCTGGAGTCAGAAGTCAGGAGACTCCACTACTCTCAGTGTCCCCTCTTCCTCACCCCTGCAACCTGGCTCCTCCCCGAATCCTGTCTGTCTCGAACCACCTCACAAATAGAGAGAATGGTCTAACCACAGGCTGCCTGCCTCTCTCCACAGGGTCCTTGTTCTCTACCATAGTTCAACTCTCACCTTTCACATTGCCCTGGTTGCCCCGTTTTATACCGTAAGGTTGCCCTTTAAGCCTTACCCCCCGCCTTTGTACCCAAATGCCAAGAGAACCTCCCTTTGAACAAAACTGAGAGCAATCAAGATGTCCCTCTGCCTTTCTCCCTTCTGCCCCTAAGGAAAGCTCCAGGAGCACTCGGTCTCAGCTTGCCGCCCCACCCCCACCCCGCCGTGTCTATGCTTCATTCTGGCGTCCACACCCGGTCACATCAAGCTCAGACCACAGCCTGTTCCTGTCAAACCCTCCTCACTGGCCACCATTGCTAATCAAACCCAAGCTTCCGGGCCTTTGATTTAGGCCCCCACAAGAGTCCAATCTGCCCTTCTAGACTTGTCTCAGCGCCCCTGCCCCTGTAGCATCATTTCTGACATTCCGAAATGGCTACTGTTTATTTACTCCATCCTGAGAACTTGCATGTCACCAAAAAGCTGGCCACACAGGATTCCTTGACACGCCTTAGGTACCCTGTTATCCTTTCTCCTGTCCACCAACAATGCGCAATTCCTTGAGAAGAACAGTTTTAAGTCTGTGGATATTCAGTAAAAATTTACTTAATATATAATGTAAGTAATAAGGCTTTATCCCTCTCCTCCTCCCTTCCCCCCCCCCCCGAAAAAAAAACATGCTGATAGGTGATAGAGAGGCAAAAAGCACAAATATTTGAATCAGGAAAAGCTGGATTCCAATCTTGATTTCAATACATATTTAGTGACAAGTTGGTCTTGAACAAGCCTCTCTGAACCCCATGGTAAAAGACCAAAAAAACAAAAGCGATACAGCCACTTAGGAAAAGAAAACAAAACAAAACAAAACAAAACAAGAATAGCAATATCGCCACCTAGTGGGAGTCTGAGTAAGGCACATAGCACTGTGGTAAATG